GTCCTACTTAAATTGTCCTTTATTGACTTTTTTGTCAATTTTTTTTCTAAATTGACTCGTTATTATTTTAAATTCATTATTAATATACCACCATGGGTTGTTCAAGTATTAATACTTACAGACAAGTATCAATACTTATTTCACAACAAATATCAATACTTGTAATTAAGTATTGATACTTATATATTATGATTTTCTTGATTATATTAAATTTTTTTACTTTATAATGGTTCAAAATTAAAATATTATAAATAATGTCACATTTTCAGTCGTGCTTAATACAAATTGTTATGTTTTTTCTTACATTTTTGATTGTATCTATTTTCATATTTTTTTAGTATTAAATTAAGTTATTTTTCTTAAATTATTAATAAACTAAAAGGGAAAGAGTTATTGAAGATATTGAGGTGAGATAAATCCGAATAAAATGAATCAAGACCGATTCTTCACGACACATTTACTATTTTAATTCTTTTTACTTTTGGGTTTGGAGTTATAGATTAATTACGCCTTTCTCACTTTAAGGGGGTGTTTAGATCATGGAATTGAGGATTCCTGGTGGGAATTTTTTTTCCAGATTGTAATACCCACGTTTGGATGGGAAAGATTCCCGATAGGGGAATAATAAAATATTCCTCAAATTAAAATTTTTACTCCTTTTATCGGGAATGCTAATTACATGCTTTGCTTATGTATTTTTTGTTTTCCTTCAACTTAGACTAAAATACCTTTGAAACAAAAGATTTATTTCAAAAATACCATTATTTTTATTTCAAAAGCTATAGTATGTTGTTTTCACAAATTTATTTAAAAATTTTATTTTCACAAATTATCACAACTTTTTAAATATTAATTAAGATTGAAAGAATATATGGTATATTTACTCTTTTAATCTACCCATTTATCTTTTAAATTTTGTAAAAAATATATAAATTTTATGAATTGAAATTTAATAAAAATATATAAATTGAAAATAATACAATAATATATTTTATATGAATTTTTATATAAAGATTTTCATTTGAATATTTGGAATTCAACTTGTCAAAAAAATATCATAAGGACAATTTAGTAAAATATGCATTCCAATAATTTTTTATTCCTTTAACCAAACACTGTAATCATACATTATTGTCAAACAAACCAAACACAATAATGTAACATTCTCAATAATGTGTAAAGTAATGTAACATTCCGGTAATCTTATTCTCGGAAATAATGTTAAATTTCATGAACCAAACGCCCCCTAAGTATAAATGTAGATATGAGTATCATATTCAACTCATCAAGTAATTTAAGTAGTTAAAAAGAATATTATTTTCTCTTGAAGTTTTTAATTCAAGCAGTTATATCAACAAGATATGTGTTGTTAATAATTAAAAAAATTAAAATTAAAATTAAAATGATCATTCAAATAAACATTAAGAACTAATTTTTACATTATAAGCTTTTTTCCGCAAGGGTTCATTTTTTTCATTAAATTTTAAAAATAACATTAATACATTTACATTATTGTTTTAGAATGCTTTGGTTATTGGGTGTTAAATATAGTTAACTTAACAACGTGACATGTTAGTAAATTTTTTTATTTAAATTATAAGTTTTAGACAAAATATTAATTTAAAGATAAAATATCAATTTAATATTTAAAATTTAAATAAAATATCATTTAACCTATGAATTCGATTAGAGTCCCCGTCATCCTCCATCGATGGTTACTGCCACTGGCCGTTGTCAACAATCATTAGACCTAGAATTTTCAATTCATTTTCTTTTATCTTTTAAAAACAAATTTAATATCTATTTTATTGAAATATTTTGATTTAACATAGAGGATACCGTCCAAGTATTAGTATTTTCAGATGTATCATAGCAGACAACATCAATAACCTCGCATACCTCAGCTGTATTTAATCACAGAGGTTGTTGTTCACTAATGCGCACAAAAATATTTGATTAGAAAAAAATATACATAGAATTAGGACATGTGGTTTTTATCCAATTTCAGATTGATTGGAAATATTTGTAAAGATCATATTTTAGCATTTCTTGCACACCCTCAACAGTTCATATTCACACAAGATTTGGATTAAAACAACTTGATTCCGTTTAAGTAAGAGTTTAGGTTTAAGTCTTTGTGTACGTAAAAGATTCTTGTTAGGAGACTCATCTATCAAAATTAAATGTGTGACGTAAGTCGGTCAAAATTAATCAAGACAAAATTTTAAAACCAAGAAGACAAAAACAACAACAACCACAATAATAAAAAAACTCGTACTTATTAAAATAAAAAATATTTAAATATTAATAATCAAAACGAAAAACCTTAAAACACGTGTAATATTGAAAGAGATGCGATGTGCATTAATTATGTGTGATGTTCGATTTATTTGAGTTGTTATCTGAACGTGCCAGGGCAGTCGCCTTAAAAAGTAATAAGCCAACTTCTAAATTATTGAATAAAAAAGTGAGGCATGGCGTCATGATAAGAAACGTGTGAAGCAACTCCTCATTTTCAAATTCATTTCTTCACATTATTTTTTATAGGCTAAACTTTATATGTAGTCATTAATTTGTTGTTTCTTTTTATTTTGGTCATCAAATTAAAGTTTTTAGTAAAAATGTTATTGATATTATATTTTTTATTTTCATTATTAATCGTTAAATATTTAGCAGCAACACTGACATAATTTTTTTTATCTTTTGAATTTTCACATCATTGTGTATCTCTTAATTAGGACATGTGTCATTATCTAATTAGTTCAAATAAAAGTAATACAAAAATAATATCTGAGTTCTAATTCGGAAAAAATGACGTGAACAGTAAATTTATTTCAACTTTCTGTTAAATATTTAACATCGATGATTAAAATAGAAAAAATAATTTTAGTGATGTTTTGATTAATAAATTAATTTGATGACCAAAATAAGAAACAAAAAATAGATTTGTGACTACTGATGTAATTTACCCTTTCTTTGATTATTATTTGTTGAAGAGAGGGTTTCTTTGACAAATCTCTACTGCTTTTATCAAACTTCTTTTTCCCTTCGTTTTTCTTCTTTTAAAATCCCATTAAATTTGCATGTGCTGTGGCAGCTCAAATTACGTTCTCATTGTTCACCGGAAAAAATGGACCAATCATAAAGGGTGTATTGATTGAGTCGAATTGAATAAAAACTTTTTGAGTTATCTGAGTTGATGAATCTTATTTTATAATTTAAATTTTATTATAATTCTTTTAGTCAAGTTTATCATATTCGAGTCGAGTTGAGTTGTTCGAGTCTCTATTTAAATTTAATTGTAGCTGTTTTTAATGTTATGATATTAATTGATTTCAACTTAAACGATTTTCTACAATCATATACAATTTACATATATATTTCTTCATATCTGCTCAAATTATCCTAGTCTTATTTTATAAATCAACTCAAATTTAAAATTTGTTAGTCGAGACTATAAAATTACAAATCTAAATCAATTTGAATCAAATATTTTAATATCAATCTAATAAAAAATTTAAATTTTCAATTCGAATCAATTTTACATGCACCTAACCAATCATCCCTAGTTTCCAGATACGTATCAAATGACAACTTCAAGATGAAAACATTAATTATTCTTTCCTGTAAAAAAACGTATTAATTAGTACAAATCAAACAAATTTAGTGATTAAAAAAGTTATTGTTATTATTAGAGGTCTTAAGTTCAAGCACATCATTTGTAAAGATATTTAAACATTCATTGTTAAATGATTAAAAATCTTTCAAATAAATGTTACCTTGTAATTAACTTAAACTAATAAAAAAACCACATTAATTATTCACAACTATACCAAATTAAACATTTTTAATTCAGTCAAACCATACCTTTTGTCCTCTTATATATTCAAATAAAAAATTTAATCAAATACTTTAATTCAAAATAATTTAATTGTTTTATTCTTATAATATCAATAGTTAGGTTATATAATAATAAAAAGATAAAATATGTTATTTAGTCACCTAACTATCACTTTAATTCCGTTTTAGTCACTCAACTTTTTTTTAAATCATATCTAATGTTACATTTTGATTAAGTTTTGACCACTCATCATTCAAAGATTAATGATGACGATGATGCTTTATCATAAAATAATATCACATCATCATTAAACAAAATAAAAAAATTTACGTCAGCAGTTATGTTTATTTTCAAATGGAGGGTGACCCCAAATAAAACAAAAAAGTGACATTAGGTATGATTTTGAAAAAATAATTGAATGACCAAAACGAGATCAAAGTGATAGTTGGATTATTAAATGCATAGTTTACTTTAATAAATAAAAATTAACACAACCCTTTCTATTAAAAAAAGATAAACTACACATTTAATACCTAAAATATTACTTTTAGTTTCAAAATTATCCCTAACATTTAGTTCAAGTTTTAATTTAATATCAAAATTATGCTTAACGTTTAGTTTATGTTAAAAATTATGTCAGTATTTTAATTAAAATAGATATCAGTGTATAATGGTTGAACTGTCTAATTAATGACACTACAACAATAAAATATTAAATTATGTAAAATTAAAATATAATAATAAGATCTTATAAATCATAATAAAAACACCAAAATATTTTACCAAAAAGAAAACACCAAAACAATAATTTGACCTTTCAACTTTAACGATCCAATTCACATTCAAATTTCCACAAGATGGACCGGCGGCAAAATGAAGTATTTTAAAAAGTTAAAAAACACTCATGGCAACGACCGTAAATTACACCAAACTACAAGGATATTTCCGTGGCCAATCTAAAATAATTAGATCAAACCAGAAAAAGGAACTCAACTCGCTTTCTACTAGCGTCCACGTCAAATCACTCGCCTTCCGAGTTAAAAATAAACGGATCTGATTGGTGAAATAGACGTGTCCCATTTCTAATTCCGCGAGTATAAAGTCAGTGTGCCTACTCGCACTCCAACGTTCTGTTTACTCACTGATCTCTCTTTCTTTATAATAATCGTCGGCTATAGCTTTTATAGATTCGTTTCTCTCTGATTTTTTTGTCTCGATTTATTTTTCTTTGATTGGTAGTTCTTTTCCTCTTGGATTTTCAATTCAAGAAAATGGCGTTAATTTCTTTCGTCGGAAGGGTTCTTTTCGCCTTAGTGTTCATCCTTTCTGCTTGGCAAGAGTAAGCCTCACTTCTGCTACTTTATTCTTTCTTCTGTTTAATGGAAACTGCTTGGTTCTTGAGAAAAAGAAGAAGAAGAAGAGGAATAATTTAGATCTGAATGCAGTTTAGGAGTTAGTTTATTTAAACATTAATTTACAATGATTTAATGTTCTCTCTCGTTTAAGAAAATTGATGATTAACTGTCGACAACAGATCTTGTTGCTTTAGCAAAGTTGCTAGCTTTGTGTGAAGATTTAGTTCATTGAGAGTACAAAATTTAAATTGTATTGCTGATCGGGCGTGTTAGAGATACTATATGTCATGTGTATGTCTGTTTGTGCGCGTGTGTTTGTAACGAAATCAATTTGCTTAACGAAATCCATGAAAATTGTTCACAGTTCTCTTGTAGGACTTTAAAGTTGAATTGTTGGTCTGTAGAATGATATTCCATAATTCTACTTACCTAAGTTGGTGTATTGCAAAGGCTATGGTGTAAATTTTTAGCATGATCATTGTGTTGGAGGAAATATTTTGTCAGCACATACATTTCTTCCCATAAACTTTACATTAGCTGAAACATATGTATTAAAGACCTGCAGATTTGGGTTTTGTCTTTTGCAATCACAACGGAGCCTTTTTCTACGCTTAATTCTGAACTACCACAAGTTCTGTCTTGCTTTTCTTTACTCTCATGTTATACGTTCATGTGTATAGGTTCAATGAATTTAGTGTTGATGGAGGGCAATCAGCTAGGGCACTCAAACCGAAATTCAATGTCTTCTCAAAAAGTTTGACATCTCATACGGGGTTGGAAGTGCCGGCATTTGATGTAAGAATTCCCTTATTTTGCCACAGAGAGAGATAAGCGTATCTGGTTTTTCTTATGTCATAACTCTTGGGTTGTTATTTACAGATTAAGTATCTAGTTGCTGCTGCTGTAGCCTTCAAGGGTGTTGGGGGTCTCCTTTTTATCTTTGGAAGCACTATTGGAGCTTATCTTCTGGTTTGTTTTCTGGCCTTGTGCGTTATTGTGCATTAGTAGTTCAATTATGAACCAGGTCAACTGATAAAAGCTTTATTCTTTTCTTGTAGGCTCTGCAGCAGGTCATTGTTACTCCTATATTGTATGACTTCTACAACTATGACACAGAAAAGAAAGAATTCAGCCAACTCTTTTCAAAGTTCTCACAGGTTAGTTGGTGACGGTATTCATTTTTCATAAAGGAGTAAGGGTTGATTGCTGTCTCCACTTCTCCCTTCCAATTCTAGTGATGAAAATTTTGATGTTTCTAACTAAATACCCTTCACTTAGAACTTGGCTCTGCTTGGGGCATTACTCTTCTTCATTGGGATGAAGAACTCATTGCCCAGGAGACAACTCAAGAAAAAGGCTCCGAAAACCAAAACAGTTTGAAGGAGGAACATCTGGTAGGCCAAGGGTGTATTCGATTTCACTGTCTACGTTGGTCAATCCTGATCTATTTTTCGTATGCTTTGTTATTCAAAATTAGGGAAAGAAAGAGGGCATGTTACTTTGATACTGTCAACTTCTAAGTTAAGTTCACGTTGATTCATTGAGTTTGGGAAAGAATTTTAATATTTTGGTTTCTATTCTAATGCTTTATTTTGCCCATTTTACATGGGATTTTTAATTATGAAATCATGGTGCATGTTATTTTATCCCCAGAAGAGTTTTTTACTGCCGGTATATAAATTATAGATCATTTACGCAGTTGTAGGTTTTAGCTAAATTGATTCATATATGATACAATTTTTTTAATTAAATCCACTAGTCTTATTAAAAAGTGAAAATATCCAAAATTACAATGTTATTTTACAACTATTATTGCAAATTAAATACATAATTTGGATATTTTTTTTATAATATTGAAACTAGCTGTTTTAGACCATATAAAAACCATACATAGAAAAAAATTAAAAATCTACCTAAAAGACTCAAACAAAAAATAAATATGGATAAATTTGACTTCATCAGTAAATAAATCACAAAAATGGGTTAAGTTATTAAAAGATCATCGCAAATTAGAGTTAAATATTGTGAGAAATTATTTATAAATGTAAAATATGTATCTAAATTTAATTTTAGGGACCGTAGCAAGGAAAATCAACAATATTATAAATAAGTGACATCTTAATCAGTTGTGGCATCGTCAAATCCAATCTTGAGAAAACATAAAATAAAAGGAACGACCAAATGTCTGAGGAAGAAGATGAAAAACGTATCACAAAAGTAGAATTAATCTTATTAAAAAAATATAAAAAGAAACAAAGAAAAAAGAAATCGACTGTCGACCATCAATATTAAAATAGATATTGTCGCCGACTAAATACAATTAGAGAAAAAACTATTTTGATTTATAGAAAACAATACAAACTTTAAAGGAAAAAAACAGAGAGAAGAGACTAAGGTAATATATTTGATATATTTAAACCTTTTGCACTTGTATATTTTTGGCACGTTACAAGCTATAACTTTTTTTTCCCCTTTTAGGTTACGTGTGTTTGGTTGGCCGTTTGAACCAAACAATTTGAAGTGGTAATATTATGACGAGAGTGATGCCAAGTATAAAGAGTTTTGGGTTAACTTAGGAATACTTGCTTTTCAGATTAAAGCAGCTTTAAGTTAAGGGTACACACAAATGTTCCTTATGTTATAGGTGCTGTTTCCTTAAATTGTTTGATTAATAAAATTTATAAAATAGTCTTTAAATTATTAAAAATTATAAAATAATCACTTGACTATTTATTATATTACAAACTTATTATTTTTCTTTTAAAAAGATTAAGGGTAAACTTAACTCCAAATGAGATTTAACTACTTGAAGTCGTTGAAAACCATGACACGTGTAATGAGATGACATAAATTTATGTTATTCAACTCATCCCTAACATATACTATAAACTAAAAAAAAAACATATGAAAAAGTGAAACTTTTGAAAAGGAAAAGATTGTAAAAACTCCATAGCCATCAGCTTGACCATCCAGATACATTGCACAGAAAACTAAGTTATTGTTCAGCAACTGCCAACAGCCATGTGTTTAATTTTAAGACCCAAAATGTGTACTTTCTTCTCTTTTCATCCTTATAAAATGCTATTTCCAGTTTTCCACTCACCCCACCCATGCAAAAGGTTTTCAGTACATGTTAACGGGTTTTAGTTTTGGCCATGGAGGATAGTTGTAAAGGCAAGGAGCGCGGAGGAGGAGAGACAACTCGATATCGAGGAGTACGACGGCGGCCTTGGGGCAAGTTAGCGGCGGAGATTCGAGACTCGAACAGGCACGGTGCTCGTGTTTGGTTGGGCACTTTTAACACGGCTGAGGATGCTGCTCGAGCTTATGATAGAGCGGCCTATGCCATGAGGGGTCACTTAGCAATTCTTAACTTCCCGGAGGAGTATCCCATGGGTTCTACTTATGCTTATTATGCTTCGTCCGACGTCGCTTCTTCTTCTTCTTCGTTATCGTCAAAACAAGTTCTCGAAATAGAGTATTTTGATGATAAATTGCTTGAACAACTTCTCGAAAACGAAGAGACAAACATCAAGAAAATGTGAAAGACATCAATTACCTGGGAATGTATTATCACTATCCATATTATAAATAATACTATGTAATTTACAAATGTGGTTCTGTTATTTCAACAAGCGCCACTATTTAGAACCACTTTGCAGCTATTTTATTGAAGAAACGCTGATAATATACGCAGAATCATTGTTTCACTATAACTATTAGTTTTGTCTTTTCAACATTTGATTTAATATTATAAATTAAATGTAGGACATGGCATTATTCGCAATGGATACAAAGTAGAGCGAGAATCCATACCATGCATGAAAGTAGGGATTGTACTTTTCCCTTGTGCTGTCTCTTTGGGGTACGTGGATTATAGGCCTTGTCTAATAGGTAAAACTTTGTGATGGAATCATTTGGTGATTCCTTACACATGGGGCTAAGCTTGGTCGTAATTACACCACGTGTAAGCATCACCATTTGTGTCAAATCTTAGTAGATTTGCTTTTTTATGCAAGCCAAAGGTGAAAGCTTAATCTTTTGGGGGCATTTTATGGGTAAAGTGAGCATTTCACTGTGGCTAAGACTCTAATTAGAGAATAAAGATCCTTCAGCTAGGATTATAGGGTATAAATATGCCCGAATCAAGCACTTTCAACAGTTTCTTTTGTAATCTGTCAACAATAAGATTCTAAAAGCACAATAAACATTTTCAGAGATCAGCTGCTCTTGCTGGAAATAGTAAGACAAATAGACAATGCAATCTGAAAAGTATATTATTTGGAGATAAAATGAATAGTTCCTTACATGTGTATACCTCCATTTACTTTTACCACGAATCTTTTATCTATACTATCAAGAATACGTGTTATATATAAGCTAAGTTCTGATATGAATATGCATACATACATATTTTCATAGATTTAAATAATTAAGTTTCATTGAAGTCATATAGTGGTCTTAGTAGTTAAAGAAAGTTTTGTTTTTCTTAAAAATCTTGGGTTCAAGCAGTTACATCTACGAATGAATATGTAGAATGCAAACATAACATATGAATGGTTTAAAAGTTAATATTCTAACAATTGTAAAATTAAGAAAAAATTACACCATTAGTCACATAACTTTAAAAAGTTTTAATTTTGCCACTAAAAATTTTAAACTTTTATTATTGGATTGTTAAATAATTAATGTCATGATGATGCGCTCGTCATCTTCCATACTTTATGTACACAAAAACCCATCAACTCTCCATATCGCTGCCATAAGTCAATTGTTGTTCATTGTCGGTTGTCATTTGTGACAAAATAAGTATCAAAACGTTCACATTTATCTCATTTTTCTTTTCCTCAAATTGTTTTCCTTTCATTAAAAAAATCATGAAAAATGATCTAAAGATTCGAACTTTAATGCTCTAATCTCCTATGTCAGTTGTCTGATGAGATTGTTTTAAGGTATGTTGTTTGCATTCTTAGAAAAGTACCTCTCATTCTTCGGATTTAAGAAAGTCCTAAACCCCAAAAATAGTTATTTTGCATTAATTTTGTGAGTTTTGAATAAGTTCTAGAAAAATTTAAATCGATAAAGTGACCGAGAATGATGAGACAAATATATTGATTTTTAAGATGACCACAAAAGACGTCAGAGAATATTTCTGATGGTGATTAGAAATAAGAAAAACCTTAAGTGTTGATCAAAAATATATTGAGATTAAAAAGAAAAAAAAAGTCATGTCAACACTAAAATATCACACCATTTAACTGTTAATGATGTATTAATTCAGTAACTAAAAAATAATTTAAAATTTTGATGACAATTATTTTTATAATTTAGTGATCAAAACGTAACAGACCTTAAGATTTAATAATTAATGCTATAATTTAACCTAAAATTATATACCATAGACATCGCTTCCATAACTAATATAAATCCTTTATCTTTTTGCTATAAAATTAAATTGCAATGTTATTTAGGAAACATGATTAATTTCAGCAAAAGCAAGAATAAAACTGTAGTCAAGAAGGGATTTTAAATTGAACCCGTCGAGTGGCTTCAATGACAAAAGAAGATGTTGTTTTCTTTAAATGTTCTAAGTTCGAGCAGTTGCATCTTTAGTATGTACGTCGTCAATGACTAAATAAGATTATTAATATATACTACATTGTAATCACCGCATACAATTTAAAAATAAATAAATAAAATTTTAAACATATACTATCCGTTAATAACCACGTACTATTAAAAATAAGAAAGGATATTAAATTTCTTATGTAAAAACTTGAGCATGATTTCATACCCCTCAGCAAACTTCATGCAATAACAGCTAACAAGCAATTAAGAAGGGGAATTAATGTAGGAACCCATAATTACTTGAGCAATTAAGCCAAAATAGCTTGAGAGCATCTAGTGATATTGTAAAAGCAACTGCATTTGCTCTAACTTCAATGTTTGCATTGTTCAAACATAACAATAATAAATAAATCCATAGCTACCGAATACAATAGATCTTCAACTATTAAATTGTAATTTCGACGTTTTAATCTTCATTTTCTTTTTCATGTTCAACTGGTTAGTATTAACTTGCCTCTTTCAAGAAGTGACAGAAGTGGGATGAAAACATCTGTGATTTATCATACTCATAAACATAATCAAGGGGGAAGGAACTCGTACTTGTAAGCTTAGTAGTTTACTTGAAGCTGGGGGAAATGAAAAAGAACTCAAAGCAAAACCAAAGTGCAGTGAACATTATTAAGAGCTTTCAATCTTTCCATTTTTTCTTCTTACTCTTCTCCTCTTCAGTTTCAAGTAGCTCCTCCAACACCTTGTCATCCAAATACTCGAACTCGAAAACCTGCTTCTGTTGTCCTCCGGACGACGAACTTCCTCCGTCAAAGCTCTTATTGACACCAACAGATGATGAAGGAGGAGGAGGATGTTGATATGGATATGGAGAGGATGATCCCCCCATGAGAAGAGGATAGTACTCGTGGGGGAAGTTCAAGATAGCCATATGACCTCGCAGATTGAATGCGGCTCGATCGTAGGCTCGAGCCGCCTCCTCTGCTGTATCAAATGTCCCTAGCCATAACCGTGAACCTTGCCTCGAAGGGTCTCGAATCTCAGATGCAAATTTTCCCCATGGCCTTCTTCTCACACCCCTATATTTTACTTCTTTTGCTTCCTCTTGCGTACTTCTATTTGAATCGTCCATCACACTTTCCCTAATTCACGTTTACCCTAAAAATGGAATTTTAGGTTTCAAATATGATAGTGAACCACTTGTAATTTGTAAGTTCCATTAATTGGTAAAGTTATTTATAGTAGAGAAAATGATCTCATCCGTGATTCCATAAATGAAACAAGCAACGACAAATATGCTTTCTGTAAGACATATTTTAATATAAATAAATGGTGAATTTTTTATGCAGCCAAATCGGATCTCACACACGTAAACCTAAAGAATCTGGTTTGACCACGAAGCTTCTTAGCTATAATGTCTGATTACACAAGTTCAAATTGTATTTGAATTTTTTTGCCAGTTTCGGTGATTATAAAGTTATAGTTATTCAGAATTTTCCTAACATATGATATTATATATACATTCTGCAGACGTAATTATTTAAATTCGAATTATTTAGGGGTCTAAACAACATTCTGTTTATCAATGAATTCACTTAATAAATTCTATAGTTAGATAAATTTTAGTTCAGTTATTTTTTTTAATATCTATATTATCAATATTAAGATTTATTCTTCCATTATTTCTTCCTACACCCATCCTCGATTATTTATTTAGTAAAATTAGAAGCATTTTTAAAATGTGATTTGGATTCTTAAACATTTTGGCACGAATAAAATATATATATCCCTATCAACTTGACCTTCCCTGTTGTTTTTATGACTTTGAAGATAGATTTGTAAGACAATTCTCGATCCCCATATCGAATAAGAATTGATGATAGATCTCTTGCACTACAAAACTTTCATCAAGAATATATTATACTTAACAAAGTACGTGGTGCGATAGAGAATATTATTCTAATTTTAGTTTGTATTAATTATCAAACCTGATTTTGAATAATTTTCCTTGTAATATTTTTATAAAATATAGAACGATTAAAGTTTTTCCCCCCAGAATGCATACTTTTATTAATAAGATGTATAACGTCCATTATCCAGGACAATCAAAACATAATTAACATGGACAACGTCCATGACCCAATACAGACAGAACAGACGGTCCCAATAGACCACAAAACAATCGAAGCTTCTTTTGAAGCGAACGATACGTTCAGATTCCAAATTTTTGGGAAATTTTTTCCTCTTCTAATATATTGTTTTGCTATTATACTTTGCAAAAGAAGCTTCGATTTTATTTCATAACAACTTAAAACCATCAACCTTACCCATGACTCCAGTCGCGTCCATTTTGCTTGTGAACCCAAAAGTTTCCCATTTTTGGTCCTCTTTTCTGGATGAAAGCGTCAACATGGCGTCCAAGCGCCATCCAAAGTCCTTTTCGATGCAGTTTTGTTGAGAGATTATGCGCATAAAATGTCATCGAACTACTCGCCTCCATCAAAATACTTATAACATCTAATAATTAGATTTTGGTTTTTTTTATGAGAGTTTTGAGTTTCATCTTCGTGTTCTCAAAATCTCCATAAAGAGGATTGAGCAAGGGTCGCTTTCACGTGTTAAAGTGTGTTTTTAATCTATAATTGAGTTTTTGTCTTTCTTATAAGAGTTTGATTAGTTTAGAGTCGAATAAATTTTAATTTTTCAAATTAATTTGAGTTTGAGTTATTTAAATTTGATTATTTTTGGTCGATTCATTATGTGTTCAGATCATTTTGAATTCTAATTAGTTTGAGTTTTGATCTTTTAACTCCTTTGGGAGCGTTTAAGAAGCTCAGGCTCTTAAGAGATTGAAAAGAAATGTGGATTCTTTTCATAATAAGAGATCTAATTTGGTATTTTCTTTGAAATAAGTTAATTTGATAATTATGATTCATATCAATTTATGTTATTTCATAGTTCAATTGATGACAACTTCTTCTTTTTTACCAAATGCATCGTAAGTTTAAAAGTTCAAATTTCCTTTTAATTTGTTAGCCTCACCAAGCGCATGCGCGCATATATATATATATATATATATATATATATATATATATATATGAGATGTTATTATATAATATAAAGCTCTTTAGTTTTACATATATAAGAACCGTTTGATAAGTGAAAATAGACAGTTGAAATTAATAGCAGGAAAGGAAAAAATATTCATTGAAAAACCGAATTAATCTCAATCATCTTTTTTCACTCATTCAACGATTTTAAATCTATATAAAATTAAAATAATTTTACACTAATTGTTTGAGAGCATCCTAACGTGTGTATATATATATATTCATGTTAAATTAACAATTTTGATAAGTGTTAATAAGGATGGAAGCACCTTTGATTTCCTACTGACTATCATGACCGAAGCTTTTCCATTGCTCAGCTCAAACTTTGAGTCTCGCTGAAAAGTCTCTCTTTACTTCCTCTTTAAATATATATATTTATAAAAAAAAAAAGTGAACATCAAGCACTATTATCGTCATAAAAGTTGGCCTCCTATAGCAATAATTATTCCCCCCTGCATCATATTTTGTAATTCCATTTAAATCTTTCTATATTCTCTATCTTCAATTTTGTTCCCTTTTTCTTTCAACTAATAATTAAAATATATAATCTTCAAAAAATAATAATTAAAACATAGTCTCACTTCTAGCAATTTCAAATCAAGTAGGGTATTCTACAACTACAAAGCGAGAAAATATTTGGCATATGACCAGTGAATCGATATTGGATCAAAATAAAAATATAAAAAGTTTGGAGTACTAATGTTAAAATAATAATAATAATTAATTACATGTAATGCAAAAATTATGATAACTATATATTTAATATATAAAAATAATAATTGTTTCCCATTTTTTTCACTAAGTCGTTGTATCCCTTTAACCCGACCTAAAAGAAATAGGTAGAATCTAGAGAGTCATGTTGAAATTTATCCCTCACAGAATTCGTGTTTGATTTAAAACTTAAAAAAAATTAACATTAAGATTATAGAAACATTCCTCAAATTAAATGTTCAATATATTTTTTTCAAAAAAAAAAAGTCTAAAAAAATATCTGACATAAATAATGAATATTCAAAAACATGTATAAATTGTTTCAAAAATAATTAAAATGTCCTAAGTCCCAAATTACATAAATCATAATAATACTTCTCAAATAAAAATACGTATAAAATCCAAAAGAAGGAATTCGAATAAAATTTTATAATAAATGTAATAATTTATTCTGAAAACAATGTAACTTTCCAAGTACCGGATCGCCTAATTACGAGTATCTGAAAAAGAAACTATGAGGGTGTAAACTATGAAGTTTTGTGTGTCTCTAAAGTGCAAACAAACATACAAGGTTCATATCACAAAATAATATGAGAGTCTGATTCAAAATATTTTATGGCAAGTAATATATTCAAATGTCAATGCACCCATACACCTTATACCGTCCGAAGAGTAGATTCCCGAGAACTGCTCAAATTACTAACACCATCTGAAGTGAAGTTTACCACAAATGTAACACCCCAATTTAGGGGCTAAATTTAAGAAAAATATAAATTGGTGGATTTAATTTGGTATTTTGAAAGAAATAAGGGATTAAATTGTAAAATTTTAAAGTTGGCAGACCGTTTTATGAAGTGCAGGAAGTTCAGTGGCTAAATTCTTGGTTTAACCATTTTTAAATATGAGATGTTATAAACCTCAATCCCCGTATGTTTTCTGGAAATTTTTCCAGTTTTCCCTCTCCCTCAACCCAACTTTGAACTCCGATCTACTCGCCGTCCGACCTCCAAACGACGAGCCGAAACAACCATCGTGTTCGTTGTCAACCGAGGAACAAAACCCCTCAAACCTTTCGTCGTGAATCATCGCCGTTCGTCGTGAATTTCAGTCGGAAGTATCGTCGGTAATAACTCGGTTTTAGTTGGTTTTTCATCGATTAACAACGATCGGGTCATCCGTTTACGACACCTCCCGCACCATCGTGTTCCTTGTGCCGTTCCGAGTCCACTGGTGTTCTCCTTTTTCTCCGGCGGCGGCGGCGCGTTGGGAGGTGAACCGGTCAAACTTCCCGATTTGTTGAAATCGAGCTCTCCGCCGTTCAAAATTGTGAACCGAGCTTTGTAAGTATCTCGAAATCGCTCAAAATAATTTTTAGAAATTTTTCTGGGATTTTATCACTGTTCACGAGCCCCCACGCGCCGCCACTGCGCGTGGGGAAGGAAAAAGTGACCGGTTTGACCGGTTTTGGAACTGTTTTGACCGGTTTGACCGGTCACAACCCGACCCGACCCGTTTACCCGACCCGTTGACCCGACCCGACCCGTTGACCCGACCCGTTGACCCGTTGACCGTTGACCGGAGTTGACCACTGTTGACCAAAACTTTGACTGGCTTTGATCGGGCATTAAACGACCTTTGACTTCGACCGAGTATACCTATTCTGACATTTTTCGACGTTCCAAATCCGATTCCGCTATCCGTTTTTCAAAATTCGAACCCGAAGGCCTTGAAATTTTCAGTCAAACCCGTTGACTCTGATTTTGACCGAAAATTCCAAATTTCCGAAAAGTCATATTTTATGCTTTCGACGTCCTGAATCCGAATCCGAAGTCCGTTTCGCCAAATTCGAACTCGGTAAGCCATCTTCCACTAATTTATCACCCGATTCGATCCGTTTATCGTAATTAAGCTCCGTTTCTGATATAATTTATGTTGATATGTATCTGAGGAATTATTGGAAGTGAATTGAAGATCAAAGGCGTTCGAATGGAATTTTTATGGTCGATCAGTATTGCACGGAAATCGAGGTAATACTTTACTACCTCTTTATGCTTTATAGGACATGTTGGTATTGGTAAATGCATGAATGGAAATGTTTGGTCTCATATGTGTAATTAATGATGTTCTACACTCGATCTGAATACGGTAAAAAGGTTCAATAATTGATTATGGTTCAGATGACTTTTATAAGAAATTAAGGGATTGCTAGAATTAAATTACAAGTTGTGCTTAGTGGTAAAGAAATCAACCTGGATCTGTAAATTATAATTTATTTCATCAAAGGTTAAATGTTAAAGGCATTTGGATGTGA